AAAACAACATCCGACAATGGTTTGAACAAATTCTGGTGATGATCGCTAATGTGGAAACCGAGTAGAAGCTGGGCTGCCGCCAAATCATGCGGTTTAAAACGAGTTAGTCTCTTGCCTGGGGATCAGAAACGAACCTTCGGGGGTTCAACCAGCTGTCAGCGAGAAAATGGGTGCATTCAAGAGATGTTCTAGAAGCAAAAAACCTTCCACTCGCATGCAGTACGAAGATGCGCGCAAGCCGGTAGCAGAAGCAATCGCCAAAGCGAAGGCAGGTTCATCGGGAAAAATACGGTGAGGTGCTGGAGTCAAATTTTCAGATGGCAAACAAGCTATTCTGGTAGACCATTCGCGGTCTCCTAGGTGAAAAAAAAGGCAGTCTAAGAATTCTGAAGGACAAGTCTGGACAATCCTTTTGCCGAGGATTAGGACGTCCTTCGGCGATACAGATAGTACTTTTAAAAATTCTTTAACTCTGAGCAATCGAAGAAGACTCGTCTAAATAGCAGCAGGCAATGGGTTCTAAGCTTTCATTAGATGAAATCGCAGAAGGTGCTAAAGGTTGAAAAGAAGAAAAACTGGTGGAATAGATGAAATCCTCCCTGAAATGCTTAAACCACTGGGCAAGTAAAGCGTGTTATGACTGACACCTGCCTGTCAAAGAACAGTGGCAATGGGGAAGACATCAGTGGTCCGAGAACAGGGCTTGTAGTAACCCTGATCAAAAATGAAGAACATAGGGAGTGATCGAAATCTCGGGAATTACCTTATTGAGCCTCCCGGTAAAAGTCTATGCAAATATGTCAAAAACGAAGTGCGGCGGAATAACTGACTCTAAGAAATAAGAAGAGCAGTGTGGATTCAAGTCAGGCCGAAGCACCTCTTGGCCAGATCCTCGCCTTACGTCAGACTGTTGAGAAATCGTGAGAGTTCGTTCATCCGGTTTAAATGCACTGTGTTGACTTAGAAAAAGCCAATGACAGGATTCAAAGTGACAAGCTATAGCATGCCTGCAAACCTATGGGATCAATTGCTAGTTTCTACGAGCCATTCAGTCAGTATATTTTGAAATCAGATGCTATGCCAAAGGAAACGGTAGTAACTCGAGACCTTTCAATGTTAACACCGGTTTCTGCCAATGGTGCGTTCTGCCCTCTCTATTGTTTACGTTGTATATCGACAGAACCATCACGCGAATCCAGGGCTATGAGCGTATCAGCGTAGGAGATGTAGAGACGAGGAGGTTGCTCTTTGCAGACGACTTTCTCGATGTACCCTGCAGATAAACGCAGAAGCACTGGAGCAAGTGAAGAAGTATCTGTACCTCAGGGTCGTGTTTACCGATGACGATAAGTGGGAGAGATCGACAGACGAACTGAAATGGCCAGTGGCACTATGAATGAAGTAACGCGAACCGCTGTGACTAAAGCAGAGCTGAGTCCGGAGATTACGCTGTACGCGTTCAAGTCAATCTTCATCCAGTGCTCACTGTCTATGGTCATCAGTCGTGGGCCATAACTGAGAAACTTTGATCACCTGTAGAAACCGATGAAATTGATTTTCTGAGACGAAACGCTGCACTCACGTATTTCGTCATGGTCCAAAATATAGAAGCTGGAGAGAGCGTTTGTGGGCGATCGCTGCTTCTTCAGATTCAGAAGTCTCCGGGGACGATCGTTTGGGCACGTGTTGCAAATGCTTCCAGAAAGGAAGGCGCAACAAGTACTACTTGCTCAACCGTTGGGTCAAAAACTTCGGCGACGGGTCAAGAATGACATGGGAAAAGTGTCTGCTCGACAAGCTGTTCTCCAGACTCATATAGCAAAAAGACAATCGTTGAAGGGAAAAAGCAAGAAACCATCGACAGTACCAGCTTTCACACAGAATGAGAACTAATTAGCAAGACCATTTAAGAAATGGTTATTCTCTTCCAGGCAAAAATATCTTCAGCATAACTCGAGTTTAGGAGATTCAGATTTTCCCTTTTTGACATACTAAGCACATAAGCCCTTCAGTTAAACCTGCGACCTTCTGATGTAAGAACCGAAGTACGGTAAGCGTTGATCAGTACGCTAAGATGCGTACAGAGATGGACAATCCTCAGGTATACGCGTTCGGAAAGAACTGCTCATTTCACGATGTTGTCTTATCATAAAAGTGTTAAAGAGCTGTGAACGTCAGAGTTTAGAAATGGGAAACACGAAGTTTTTCGCACTGTTGGTACATTCTGGTATTCTGTCTCTGGAAGTTTAGTACTCAGGTTGACACTTAAAACTGAACTTGAATGTTACACAACAATTAACCTTGAAATTGTATGGCGCTGTCCAATACTGGCGTAAGGTGTGAACCGTATTAGTACGACGATCCGATACTATTATAATCGCAACACGAGGCAAATTTCATACAACACCTTAGAACTGGTAGACTGCTTTGTGCTCACAGGTATAGACAAGATTATGTCATAATTTCGCAAAATATCTCACAACCCTTGGACAAATATATCTTATGTTGTAGATATAACTGTTAATCCTTTTTCTTCTTTGATATCTTAAAGCTTGTACGACAACCTTGATGACTGGATATTAGAGTCGTCGATGCAAAGAGTCAAACCAAGCAGGTCTGATACTGGTTGGTATAAAGAAAGGCAGTCAGTTTATTTGGGCGCAAAGGCTCTGTAATATTACAGCCAATGACGGAATATATACCTATCGCAAGTCTGATCCTAATGGTGCGAATATGACATATTTATTGTGAAGAAGTGGATTCATCACAAATCGTCGTATCAGGCTTAGCGCATCAACGCTGTTGAATGCAGGATAGGCCGACCTATCGTTATCGCGCTCCGATGTCAGTAATGGAGTACATACAATCCGAGAGAAAGACCATCTGCTGTTTAACAGTAGTCATAAATTAGCCTATCATTTATAAAGTGCTTCGTGAGAAACGAAGTATTGCAGCATTCGCAATCGAAGCTGTTTCCATCATCTAAACAGTTCAGAAACTACAATTTTTCTAATTGGTTGGCTTCGTCTAATACTGCTATTGTTTAACACGTGCTACGTTCGTAACGTACGACAAATGAAAACGTCTACGCAAAACTCAAAGCTTAAGATTGCCTAACTTGCAATAAGTGTCGCACCTTGTTCCGCCAAGGGGAAAATCACTACAATCAACAGCAAAAGCACAGTGGAGGAAAATCAGATGGTCACGAGTTTCGCGAAAGATGCTTGCTGTTATAATTAATTAGTAAAGCAACCTGCAAAACATAATGGCATTCTTGAAGGCTAGATAGTACTACGGCAGCGGATGCTACGATGCTGCTACAGTGAAAAGCACTGAACTGCCGGCAACCAACAGCTTCGAAATAATATCAATTCGGCGTGAAAATAATTTCTTTCTACAAGACGTGTACCTCCGTGATACTGCATAACTTGCATAAACTGTACTGTATTTACAACCAGACAACTGAATATGAATGCTACCTTTCAAAAGAAAACCGGCTAAGAATATGAGTTTTCTCAGAAATTTCTGCTTAAAATTCTTTCAAAAATAAGTATCAGTTAGCATTTTTGTGTTGATCATGTCTTTGAGCGAATAATTTATTCAATTACCCAGCATAACCCTATAGTAAGTCAAAAATGGCCTTGTTCCATCAAGATACCGATGACAGTCCTCTAAATATCACCGACGATAGTTAACTTGTTATTGAACCATTCATTTCTGCAGTTGACGCACAACAAAAGTAGTCTAACTGAACCCAAGATCAGTAGCTTCTCATAAGATCAAGTCACGTAAAAACAGATTTATATTAAAGGCAAATATACTTCGCTTTCCCCGTGGCTTTTTAGGCAAACGCATGCAGCTCTTCGTCGATAGGATGAGATTTTTCCAACCATTCGTTGATTATCACACGTCATTACAATTCACAGATTCTTAGTAAATTCCTGTTTCAACTAGATATACCACATTAATACGAGTTTAATCGGATATGCTTACCAAAACGCCGTATACTCGTTCGTAACGGAAACTTCGTCCATACGTAACACGTACAGCGGTTCAATGTAAACAAACTTGCAGATCGAAGTGAGCAGGAACGGTCCTTGTGC